TGTTAACGATGTTAATAACGTTGATCATTCGTCAATCTTTTGTGACGCAGTAGGATTGACTTCATATGGTATCAATGCCAATGGGCGAATACAGCAGATTGGTATCCAAATGGTGGAAGCAACTATCGGAATCTGATAAATCGAAATGGCAAAAACGTTATCACATCAACAGAGATCAAAACCTCCTCATTTCGGCTACAAATGATGAGCCCATATCAAAACGTTTGAAAATCGATTGCTTTTTGTCGGAAAATCCTGCAAAGGAAGTTTTAGATAGCATCGACGATTTCTAAAAATGAAGGTAATTAAAATAATCCTTTCGTTAACGGAAGTTTTATTTCCCTTTTACAATTTTATACATTTTATTATGTTAATTTACTTAAATAATGATGATAAAATATTTACTATTAGTCCCTTTTATTTTTTTTGTGTCAAGTGATGAAAAGTTTTTTTTTACTTAAATCGTCTTTTATTCTCATTTCTTTTTATTCTTAATATTATTCACGCGAGAAAAAAAATTTTATTAATCATTCCGTAATTATGCAAAATACGTTCAAGTTTATTCCTACAATTAGTTTGTCATATTATAATTATTTTATATAAATCGCGTCAAGAACTTTGTAATGTTTTTATACGATAAGAAAAATTTTATCGATCATTAGAAATTGTTTATTGTTACTTCCGTTACCTCAAGAAAGTTAAATTTTTTACATTGTGTAACAAAATTTTTTGAATCAATCACATGATCTTACGAAAATAAATCATCGAAAAAACATTCTAGATCAAAATTTGCGTTTACTATGAATTAAACCTTGTATTTAGAGATAAATCACAATATCGTTCATTTTGCCATCAAGAATATATTCATTTTTATCTTTTTTTTTTTTAAAAAAAAAGATCGACAAGTATAACTAACCCATGAAAGCTTTTTACCACCTCCAAAGTGATAAACGCAAAAGTGGTAGTGGCGTATTAAAAAACATAACACCAAGTGCATCCCGGGAATTGGACTGTATATTCGAAGAGAACCCACTACAGTTGCTGTCCATATCACATTCTATAGAATGCCAAATCCTATACTATATTTAAAGTCCCATATCCCATTCCCCATGTACCAAATCCCAATCCCAAATCCCATTTAGTATAAAATATTTTAAGTATAACCTAATCAATATCCCACTTACAACAATAAAATAATAATCATTTGTATCTTCTCATCAAGACGAAGCTAATGTACTAAATTATAACCATTAATTATGATAATATAGTTTGTTAAAGTTTTTGTTTAAGGAATTTGGATTTAGGATGGATGGGATTAGGACTTTATCCCATATCCATATAGTATGGGTAACAAGTATAGAACCTACACTTTCTACCAGATCTGTAGCTGCTAAATTGGAAAGTGCTCAACAATTTCGAGGCATTTGGATACCGAAATACACTTTCCCCTTTCATAAGCAAAAACGTGTTGAATGGACTCAAAAACACAAGGATGATGATCGGAAAAAACCCATATTTAGTGACGAAACGACTTTTCCAATTGTACGTAAGATAAAGCATTGGTATAAAAATGCTCATCCAATGCCTAAGGACCGAAGAAAATATTTTTTTGGGTGGTTTTTGTATAAAGGGTACTACCAGTCTCTTTTTTGTTTAGTCGTATAATGGACGGAAAATTCTATACGTAAATGATAGAAAAGCAACCCCAGAAGCACGCGGTGTGATGGCGGTTGCAAAGGGACAATGATCCTAACATACTAGTATGTTGCTTAGGGATATTAATATCCTGGATTGGCTCTCTAAAAGTCCGGACCTAAATCTCATTGAATAATTGCCAAAAGGAAAGTGGAGCTGCGTAGGACTAAAAATCTATATTAGAGCGTTTTGGGAAGATTCCTTCTAATTAATCATGTAAACTCAGTGTCAAAGCGTTGTAAGGAGATTACGGTAACGAATATATAATTTTTTTAATAAAATCTATCGCAACTTAGCTTTTAAAATGACGTACATTTTAATTGATACAAAGGTTGTGTATTTTAAAGTTTTCATTTTTTTTGCACCCCATTTTATAAACCAATTTCGCGGAATACAATCTTTTTTATTTTGATTATTGATAGAGCACAGTAATTATTCAGGTTAATTATGCGTTTAACTAATTAATGAAAAGATAGTTTTCACTAATGTAAAGACAACCAGAATTTTGACATTAAGATTGATGTTATAGAACTAAATATTTAAAAAAAAAGAAAGGTGTAAAATAATTACGTTAAAATTATTCAAATAAGATTCAATAAAATAAATATAAAACGTGACTTGATTTGATATGATACTTTTTAGCTTAATCTCTGAAAGGAGTTTACTTAGACTAAAGACTGAAAATTACAACCTCCTGATGTCGATAAAATACTGATATAAATTGTGTGCACAGCTTAACAATATTAATGAACAAATTTCTTTTATTTCTAAGTGAATTAGCAAATTTTGCTTCGAATCTTACTTCTAATTAAATTATAACATTTATAATTTCACGACGTTTAATTTAACATTTCAGCTAATTTTCATTTATTCATTATGATTTTATATTTTCATCGAGAATCTTAGTAATCTGTTTGCATACTTATTTAATCGAGTTTAATTTAATTTGTCGTATTCAATAAAGAGAAATTAATAGTAATGACTCTCGTTCGAGATTATCTTTAATAAATTAATTATACATTGTTTTTTTTTTTTGAAATAACTCTATTTGGCATGTCACCGTTAGATCCTTTTCCGAATCGACGAGTATTTATGGAAATTCATTACGCAATTAATTAATATGGGAAAAAGTTAACTCAATGACTGAATATTTATTTGCCTTTAACGTAGAGCTCCTATTTGAATATTTTCCAGAATAATCATTAATGGTTTTAAAAACAAAGTAGAACAAACCTCAAGTTAATTTTGAATCAAATTCCAGCAAGGAACTATTTATTAATTGGAAGAGAAATTATTAAGGATCATCATAAATCTTGAAAAACTATTTATGATGATAATAGTTTAATAATAATAGAGATTTTCATAGTAAACGACTCGGGCGGATTGCGAAAATTAAAAAACTCCCGTTGGTCTATGATTCAAGTAAATAGCTTACAATTTTACCTGACTCCTTAACAAATCTCTATTGCTACGACACTTATCTAACTCGTAAATAACTAAAAATGCCAGAGAACCACTTTACCAACCTTACTTAACTTTTTAGAAAGACACTGTTGCGATAATACTCCAATAACCTACTTACCATCTCTTTAACTGTTCAAATACTCCAATATCTAGCTGCTATAATACTAATAAATTAAGCTTATCGACTTTGCTTAATTTTCTTAACTACTCTAATACACGCTTGCCAATCTTACCTAACTTCTTAACTCATATTTACTGTTCAACCGGTTTACCTAAATCCTAATTACTCTTAACTGCAAAAATATCCAGTGACTAGTTTGCCAAATTTACCAAATTCATTAATGTATGTCTCCTTAAATCTTTATACGCTAGGTCATACTATAATTTTTTATAGTAGATGGATTAAAATCTTTTTTTTTTAAAAAAAGAAAATCTCGTAAAGGTATTTAATTAGTTGATTTTCATTATTTTAAAGTTTAATAATGGTGTTGTATAGCAGGAACTTGTTCGAAGCTATAATTGGATCACTTCTTTATGGTTTTTTACCTTTTGCTCTACTGAAAATCCTTAACAGCTCATCATTCCATGTTCGTCCTTCTTATAATTGCATATATACACCTTAAAAGCCTTTCTTTATCCCCTAGTGATATTTTCACTTTTGCCGGGTTAACATTATAATTTCATATTTGTAATTTCGATTTATTTTTTAATTTCTGATTTTCTTATTATTTTCTTATATAAATTTTCGTAATTGTGCAGTTTTAATTAATTAGAGTTTTATTGATTGGCATTTATTTACTTTAGTTTAATATATCGACATTGCGGAAGCTGACATTGAGGTAACACTGATTTAATTTGATATTATGAAATAAATTTAATGTCAACATTACTCTATTTTTACTCATAAAAACCGTTTTGCTTACATTTTAAAGTTGTTATACTTACATAAACGAAAGAACTGAATACAACAATTTTAATCCAACAAGGAACTTATTAGCTAACGTATTAGTCAAACCGATTGATGGAAACTAACTAAAATTTTTAGTGTATAATAACAAAAAATTATTATAATCGTAATTGGAATTACTAAATAAGGTCTAGATCTACAAAGAATCTTATGGCTATATTACTTTCTTCATTTTCTCCGTCTTTTGTTCTTTTTTTTTTTTCATCATCTTTTTTTTTTAAAAAAAAAGGAGGTAAATCGATAAATTGTCTACATTGTCTAAAACATGTAAGTCAGTTAAAATATTAATGTTACCTATGCTTTCATGAAATTTTTTCATTCTTTCATTAAACTTATTCCTAATAAAGACCCAAAAAGGAAAATCATCACCGTCAGACATGCAACCGTTGGAGATCAATGCACCAGTTATACTCTTAGTTGGAAAAACAGGTATGTGAAATCATGTCTTTCCTTCATTTGCTATTGAAAAATTAATTTTTTACTTAGGTGCCGGTAAGAGTACGTTGGGAAATTATTTGTTAAGGATCTCGGAAGATGATAAGAACGCTTTTAAGGTCTCCGAAGGTTTTGTAGGTATTAAAATGTGTCGATATGATATTATATAGTTTTATCAATTAATCCAACATCCGAAACTTCTCAAATATGCTAGGATTCGATGACCAACAAATCTAGTTCCGCAATTTACAAAATTGGTGACGAAACTTATAACATCATCGACACGCCTGGGATTTTTGATACCGACAAGCCCAATGAAGAAATCATGGAAGAAATCGCTCGCACCGTACAAAAATGTGCTTATGGAATTAAGGCCATATTATTTGTTTTGGGTAAGTAGGAGTTATTAAAAATCAAGTTGTGAAATCTAGGATTAACTGTACGGTGCTGTTAATAGAGGCCAAAAGATTTACGGATGAGCAACATAACGTGATCGATGGTATATTGACGCTTTTCGGAGAAGAGGTTTTTTTAAACATGATTTCTGTCTTCTCGAATTGTAACAAGAAAAATACAAATGACCCAAAAAAATTTGAAAAGACTTGGAACAAAAAGGTTCGCAAGCTCGTCAATCGCATGGGTAATCGGTGGGCCATTACTCCGAATCCAGAAGACTTCCCTCCTGGTACTGAATTGCACAATAAATGTTTAGAACATTTAGAAAATACTATTTGTACCATAAATGATATATATACAAATGAATTGTTCGAAAATACACGAAAGGAGCAAGAGGAACGCGCGCGGATTGCAAGGGAAGAAGAAGAAAAGAGACAAAGAGAATATGATGCAGCAGATTACTTAAAATGGAAGACTGAATTTGATAAAAGCGCATATATTGCAAATCATACTCTCCTTATGAAAATTCAGGAATTTTTAGTTGAAAAAATGATAAGTGATCTTAAACGACAAGATGAAAAAAGTAATCAAGGTGATCAAGATAAAAAAAGTAATCGAGGACGTTGTATCAATCAATAGTACCACTGATATAATTCATAAAATAAATCTCTGATTTTCAAATGATTCGATTTATTGAATATTGTTACAATTGAATGAAATTCAAGCCGAAATCTCCATTATTCCTCATGAAAATCGTTTTCGGTATTTGCAGTTAGGGCGCGAGGTTGTCAAGGTGCCAGTATGATAAAATGTTCAAGACGCCAGGCTGGCCTAATTATTTTTTTATATATACGAGCTGGAAATCCTGAAACAGCTCTCGCCCTTGTGGTATTTCTTTGATTACATTTCCTTCGATATCCTCCTTTTACAACTTCGCAATAATTTCGCTTTCGCCATTTTAACTTTTTAATTTCGCATATATAACTTCGTTTATCATTTTTTTTTATTTTTAATTTCGGATTTTATTATTCAATTTTATGTAATTTGTTCGTATTTGCGCAATTTTAATTAAATAGAATTTAGTACTTGGCATTTACATAGTTTAAAATATTGATCAAGCGAAAGTGTAGAGCGCCAACACTGATAAATTTGATAATATTAAATAAATATTTTGTCATTATTACTTCATTTTAATTCAATCGATACCTTTTGCTTACAATACAAATTGTTTACAAAAACATAAACGAAAGAACTAAATACAACAATTTCTAGCTTAACCAGATAATGTAATGATATCTTCATTTAATCGGAGGTTATTGAGTCACGTATTAAAACATAAGTTTCGGTGGCCCACAAATTTTCCGATAGTTAAAAAAATGAATCAAAAATTATGCATAGATACTTATTCCATTATCTTGCCGAGCACGTTTGCTATCCTCAAATGCAATTGATAATTTTTTTTTGGAAAAAGTTATTCAAATCTATAATCCTTTCCTCTAAAAAAATTTTGTAATTCAAATTCGTTTGACATTCATAGCCTAAAGCATAGGAATAGTAACCATAAGCTCAAAAAGGATTAGTTATTTCATTCCAGTTTTAATTTTGCTACATCGGTAGCATTAAACAATTTTTACGTAAGATTTATTTAATAATGTCTCGCTCATTACTTTTTGAAATCCACATGAAATGAAAAATAACAAATGACACATTGGCCATATTTGTTAAAACCGATCAATGGAATCTAAACTATAAATTTTTTTGTTTTGATCATTTAAAGTAACTGAATCAGGACAACAAAACCCCAAGATAATAAAAAACAAAAGTTTATTATTATCGCTATTGTTCGTTTATGGAATTACTAAATAAGGTCTAGATCTGCAAAGAATAAATCTTTAAATATTTTTCTTCCTTTCTGTCTTTTTTTCTTTTTCATTTTTTTATAAAGAAATAAATCGATTATTTGTTCTATAACATGTAAGCCTCAGTTCAAAT